CTACACGAGTAATGAATGATCTCAAAAATATTACAAATATGACACTGTAATATATAGATCTGCAATGCCAATATTTAAATTCAAATTAATTTTTAGTAAAAAGAGGATCAACACGTAATCAGAGAAAGTATTAATATCAAAACAGGCTTCCGCAGAAAACAACGGATCTATACTTGTTAAGTGAATATCAAGCAAGTGTAATAATTACAATTCGATTGTACCGAAAACCAGTATGTAATAAAACGTATGCCAAGGAGTCGGGAAGAATAAAAATTTCCTTTGAACTTCGGGTCGCGACCTTATGAGACAACAACACAAACAAACATAAAATGGGTAGTGAATAGCGCGGCACATAAAATATTGCGTAAGCAACTCTAACGTGTGACACTAAGGCCACTAAACCGTAATTAATACCCAAATGAGAATCAATAATTCAAAAGTAATCATCTCCAAGGGTTCGTAAAAGTTTGCAATTATAAGAACTCCAGGTATAAACAACTGAGAGTAAATGTTGGTAGAATTTTCCAAGCCGGTAATGTAGAAACCGAGGTAACAACATGCATCGTGTGGCGCGCACCAATGTCAATTCTAATAAGATGGCGGGTCCTTTAAAAATACAACGTAAAAGGTAATTCAAAAGGAAGAATGAGGAGAATGTAAACGAAAATTATGTTGATGAAAGGTAAACTACGAGGAAGGTAAAACCCTAAAAGAAATATATTAATAAAAATGCTGCGTAATCATCTAACATACCTAGGTCGTACTGTTTATATGCAAATACAGATCCGTTAAAGCGTTTCAATGGAGCAGAAATGAAAGAGAGAAAAAGAAACCACTTCAAAGATATGTGGTAACAGCCAAAACAATAAGCCCTTGTACACGTGTGACACGAAGTCAAAAGGAAAATTTGCATGCGAACAACAGGAAGTCAGAAACTGCACTAGGCGAGAAATACCACTCGTGGGCAAGATTAATGGATTAATGTTTAAGAAGGGGTAGCATTAAGTGCAGAAAAGTACACAGCGTGAACTCTAGCGACAAGATAAAGAATAACTTTTTGGAACAGGAACAACTTACATATAAACTAATGTATTACAAAGAAAATACCTGGATGCAGCTGAGTAAAGAGTCAACCCTCGTTCATCGCTCAGCTCAGTTGATATTGAAAACATCCACGCAGTGGAGAATGTGGGAATTGCCGATGCCTTAAGTCACATCTCCTCCACGTGCAGCGCTCCCATTAATGTGATGGGCATAGCTGAATCCCAACGGAACGATATGGGGCTGCAAGAATTACCTACTAAAAAGTAATACAATCTCGAAACTGGAACGGCATTGACGCTGAGCTCTATTGTTATATGCCAAACCCTTCGACCAAGACCATTTGTCGCAAAATTACTTAGAAACAAGTATTTGAATCGATCACCCAGGTATTAACGCTACCTCACGATTGATCTACGATCCGTACGTATTGAGGCTGCGACTGAAGGTGATCCCGAGGTAAGAAAATACACGACAGTGAGAGGCTGGCCTTAGAGGGTAAGATTGACGTGGTCCCCAGATTGTCTCTCGACTTTCCCGAAGTTGGGATGACGGAATACGATGTTTTGGGTTTTAGCAGGGTTCATAGTAATTTTACAGTGGAGGGTTGGAGAAAGATCTTCGCGTACCACCCGTATAATCTTAATGGGAGCTAGTTTTTACTTGAACTTTTTCGTATTTGTATGTTAGCGTGTAATACTGAAATACGGCCCTGGCTTTTTAAATGCGTGTAAAAGTTGGAGGCGCCGAGAAGTCGTGGGAGATTAGGTACAATTACGGGGCGATTTTGCAGGGATCACATCCGTTGTATCGTGATTGCTGCGTACCGTGGACTCCGCAGACAGAAATTAGCGTGAAGCGGCCAGCGCCGTTAAGTCGTTCACCTGTAGTTTAGCGAAGGGTGTGTGAAAACTAAAGAGCGGACTAAATAAATAAACTGCAGTCGCATGACTGACATTTTCGCTTACCGTCGGATTGCGTAATCTTGTGTAAAGGCGAGGGAATTCCAAAATCAGAGCTGTATTCATTTACGAGGTCAGGATTTCCATCGATTTTTCTCGCCAACCCTTTTGGAATCAACAAAAGTAGACCAGTCAATACTTGGACGAACCCGGGTCATCTCCGTTAATTTATGTTGTATTGTATTTTTCTGTTCAGATTAGTATCGTTTTCCTTCAACTGAGTTCTAAAATAGTCTACTTTTAAGATTGTGAATAGAGTGTAAAAATGGGACAGTAATTATTAAGGATCCTCAGATCCTTTATAGTTTTGTATTGTCGTCCGTCCGTGTGCGCTTTTTAAAAGTGGCCGATTGTGTTGAAATTTGGTGTACGGGTACTTTGGACATTAAGGACGGACGCTATTGATTTTCAGGAAAAACTGCGAACTCAATATAATAGAAATCAACATATTTCATTCCCTAGGTCATGTATCGAGTTCGGACTTTCTCTAGATTATTGTCTATGACTCTTAGATGTGTAACAATTCAATATAACTCTTCTCGGTGGTCTGGGTCAAAAGTTTTAGAGCAAAATGTACCCAAAATTATTTTTTACACATGAATTTGGAGTTTTAAAAGTTTTCAAACGCCGAGTCAATCGCATTATCTTGATGCTGAAAGAGTACATCACGTGCACATTTGATAACCGCATCTGCGTGATTCAAAGATGTTAAATTATTTTTCTGAGGTCACATGGATTTTTATTAAAATATGTCAAAATCGTTATTTATGCACCAAGATCGTTGGGAAAAAGACTAGGGGCTTTATCTCCATGCCCAAGATAATAATTTGATGCATTTTTCGCGACCACGTGGATTTTGATCAAAACATGTCAAAATCGTTATTTATGCACCAACATCGTTGGGAAAAAGACCAAGAGCATTATCTCAATGACCAAAACATGAATTTGACCTATTTTTGGCGACCACATGGATTTTGATCAAAACACATCAAAATCGTTATTTATGCATCAAGATCGTTGGGAAAAAGACCAAGAGCATTATCTCAATTACCAAAACATGAATTTGATCTATTTCTGGCGACCACATGGATTTTGATCAAACCATGTCAAAATCGTGATTTATTCACCAAGATCGTTGGGAAAAAGACCAAGAGCATTATCTCAATGACCAAAACATGAATTTGATCTATTTCTGGCGACCACATGGATTTTGATCAAACCATGCCAAAATCGTGATTTATTCACCAAGATCGTTGGGAAAAAGACCAAGAGCATTATCTCAATGACCAAAACATGAATTTGATCTTTTTTTGACGACCACGTGGATTTTGATCAAAACATGTTAAAATCGTTATTTATGCACCAATCTCGTTGGAAAAAAGACCAAGAACATTCTGTTAACGACCAAAACACGAATTTGATCTATTTTTGGCAACCAGATGCATTTTGATCAAAATATCTCAAAATCGTTATTCTTGCACTGATATCGTTGGGAACAAGATTAAGAGCATTATTTCAATGACCAAGACATGAATTTGATGCATTTTTGTTAACTATAAAATGTCGAGTAAAATGTATTATGTAAGATTAAAATAAATTGACGTTAAATGTGATTGTAATACTGAAGATCCTTCGATATTTCGTTGTATCGGTTTATTTTCATTATAGAGGAGCGTTAAACTAGGTAAAGAAGGGGTCACTTAATTAACTATTTTAGTAGGAGTTTAGTAGTGGATTTTGAAATAGACTTCACATTGGTTTCTTTTGCTATTGAGAGATGTAAGTGAAGGCAAACTAATTCATTTTTCAATGTGTGTAATGTTTCCCATATTGAATGATGTAAATTGTGTTGTAATCTGCGGAATCGCGACTCAAGCGGAAGTGCGACAAGTTCAAATTTTGTCATGTAGATCCTCGTGTAGATCAAGGTCCATTTTTCCTTGAAGGTAGGTTACTCGGTATGTTAGTTTGCCTTCACTAAAGATTCCTAACATTGAGCTAGCCGTTGGTAGTAATTTTCGCGGGAAATTCACATCACTTAAAAAATCAAAATTTAAATAGTACGAGCAGGCGCATTTGCAGCCCTTAATATGTAGCCACCCGTTACAACCTTGAATCCTGAAACCTGAACCTTAAGGCGTGAATCTAGAATCTTGCAAACTTGCCTGACGAAGCTTAAACGTGGAGCCGAGACCTTGAATGTTTACTTTTGAATGTTGATTTTACAAACGTGGATCGGGAAGTTTGTGTCTTGAGGCTTAAATTTGGGTTTTGAAGCTTGAATCCTAGACCTTGAGTCTTGAGGATTTTGAAACTAAAATTTTGATCGTCCATTGTGGACTGCCAGATGTTTAATTGTAACACTACTTTCCATCTTAAAATTTTAGATTGCACGTCCCAAGATGAGGTTCACTATTACCTCAATTTATTCGAAGACTCCTGATTTTAAATGGTGCATTTAGAGTTTTGAATCAAGTAGGTAGGACTTTTTATACTGTAATGATCTTAGCCTCCTACTATCTTGGCGGGGTAACGCCAACCTTCAAGTCACACCGGAATATTTGACCATATTCTGTAGTAGCGGGAATGCCAAACTAACATGGCCGCTTATTTGAATATTTTCGCTTAAGTTTCCCGCGAGAATATGTCACTCGGAGACCACTCCGACTTCCGAGTGCACTAAGATCGTGATCGTAATGTAGGACACCTACGTTGTGTAATAACTGGGTTCTCAGCAGGCACTGAGGGCGTTTTATGGGTAAGGAACACCAAAAGCAATAGCTTATAGCTGATCAAGATTATATTGAAGCTAATACCAATACGGCGCCCCTGCAGAGGGTCTTAAGGGGTTCTATAACTACTCTGGCATTTACCTGACGAATTAGGAAAACTGCAGGAAAACCTAATTCGGAGTAGTCCTATAATGAACAAAGCCTACAGCTAACATTTAATGTACAGCACTTTTGAGCCCTCTCGAAACCGAGGTAAGTAAAGGTAAATGTACTCATATTGGGACGCTTAAGGACGTTTTGGGTGCTATCTCGCTTGAATTGATTAGGACAAAAGTGTTATTTACTGGGTTTTGTAGGTTGAAGTCTACATTATCAGATAAAACACTTACATCCTATACCAGGGGTAACTAAGGGTTCCATAATTTGACTCAACCCCTTACATGTCAAGGTCCTCAAATTGGGCAGGGGGAATTTGAATTTTGCTTATATTGGGCCCCCACAATTTGGGACTATAGTTTAATGCTGAAATTATTTTGCAAATCAAAATTTATTCAAAAACATTGGGATACAAAAACTTATCGTCAAACTTATTTTAAAATCTATATTACATTTAGGCTTTTTCCATAATACATATATTTTTCTTAAATTTATAAAGCACTTGTCTTCCTTCCACTTCTATTTCAGGCTGAGGAAGCCGACCAACGATTTGTCGAAATTCTACACTTGAAATGTCATTATCCACCAAATGATAAGCTTTCCTTGATTTATTAGACTGAAGGCCCTGAACGGTTATTTCATTGGTTTTAATTTTTTGAATGACACAGACATATTTGTAGTTGGTCGAATTCCTTTTTCCCCCCACAAAATTAACTAGAATAAAGTCACCTATTGCCAATTTTCTCATCGAAATTTCTTCGGGAATCTCTTCGTCGCTTGTCTCGGATTCGTTCCATGGCGAATCGACAGATTCTTGATACACCAGAGAGGAATTCCCTGAAGATTCTGAAGATGACCTCACAATGTTCTGTAATTGTTTTTTTTCTTCTGCGATTTTTTTCTTTTCTTCTATTAATTTCTTCTTTTCCTCCCGTTCCATTTTCCGTTTTTTTATCCCTTCTTCCTTAGCTCTTTTCATGCTTTCCTTCTTTTTGTAGTATTCTATCATCTGCGGAGAGGTTACCACTGAAGGCAATTTCTCTGCTTTCCGTTTTCGAGATATGTCCTGATTTTCTTGTGGCCAAAAGAGAGTTGATTTAAACGGCGTTGGAACTCCAACTAATGCACTGTTTTTTGATGGCCCCGCAACTGCTTCTTTTTCAGGAGTTTTATCTTCACAAACTGCCTGCTCTTCTTGTTCGGGATCTCGTGCAGTTTCTTCTTTAGTGTCCAAGCTATTTTTAATTGTGAGAATGGGAGAATGCTCTCTAGGAGTCTTGTTTGCTTCTACGGTATGTTTAGTTTCAAGCCACAGGACGTACAAAGATTTGTCTTCTGTAGCACCATTCCAAGTACCATTACTACTTTGAAACTGTCTTAGCTTCTCGGTACCTAATTTTTGTTCTAACATTGTAAAAAAAGTAACAATGTTTGTGTCTCCATTAAGTTTTTCTAACTTTTTTGGTTCCTCTGGCTTATTGAGGGGTACTTCCACTTCTAATGGGTTCCAAGGCACCAAACCACATTTTCGAAATCCACTTATTAATACCTGCGGTTCTAATTGACCCAAAACTGATTGCAGAACTTCTGGAAAGTTATGTTTCTGCATTTGAGCTCCTTCACTAGCAATTCTCCATTCAGCCACCTTTTGTTTCCACGAACTTTTTAATGTATGAAACACTGCAACGTCCAAAGGTTGTATGAGATGAGTGGCATTTGGATAGAGTGCAACCAATATTATTTTTTTCTGCTCGCAAAACTCTGAGAGAGGGAGAGATAAATGTGATGAATGGCCATCGAGAAACATAATTACAGGACGAGGAATATTGTGTTTGTCCAACCACGGATTAAATATATTAGTGATGTACTCAAAAAATGTTTCCTGGGTCATCCATCCATTTTCCGACTTGCCTATACCCCATTCAGGTGGTATATTTTTCACGATTTGCAGTGGAATGCGTTGATATCTATACACTATCATCGGCGGTGCCAATATTCCGGCCGCATTTCCCGTGACTAAAACAGTTAAATTAAATTTTTCATCTGCGCCTGCCGATGTATACACGTTTTTGGAGCCCTTTTCAGCCAATACTTTACCAGGCTTGGGATTTAAAAAAAAGGCTGTTTCATCACAATTAAAGATGCGCCTATTATCGTCAAAAACGCTTTGTAAATTGTTTTGTTGGATGTAATTTCCAATCTCGTCAAACCACTGATTTATGTCCTTTTGAGTAATTTTATTTCTTGCGGAAGTGAGGTTCTGGCTTGTTCTCTCCCTAATATCCGGGTGTCTTCTCATGAAGCCCTCATACCACTTACGCCCCGGCATGGTGCTACCGCGGGACTTCCCGCCGATAAAGGTTTTCTCCATTCGAGTTGCCAATTTATCGACACTGAAGAAAAGAGTCTCTTTGGATATAGGGAATCCAGCATTGGCCATTGCTTTGACCCATTTTACTAAGATCGCTTCTTCCTTAGCATCGAAAACAGTTGGCGCGCCTGCTTTCGTTTCCAAAGGGCCTGTGGTTTTTGATTTTCGTAGTAGTGTGGCTCGTGGAATTCCGTGTTTTTTTGAAGTCGCACGTAAACTCGCTCCTGCCTCCATATCCTGTAACGCCTGCATTACTTGATCTTCACTATATTTGTTGTATTTTTGTTGTTGTTCAGACCCCATCTCTGTAAAGGGAAAATGCCCACGTTACATGTACCTGAAATTGTCCTTTACTTGAGCCGCCTTGTTTCTTAATTTGGACAGGGGTGGCCCAATTTAAGAATAATTCATCGTATAAGCATGACGAAGATAGCTATAGCTTTGTCGCCATGAAAGGGTATTACTCATTAATAAAATACATTTAACAATTGAGCTCTTAATTTGGGACAGGTGGCCCAAAAAAAGAACCTAAAAAAATATTATGTTCTTAATTTGGGCCATCCCCCAAAAGCATGGAAAACACGTATTTTTGTTGATTCAACGCTTCAACGGATTACCCTTATTTAAGATTACAACAAAAAAGCACATTTTGAAGTCGAGCGATTAATCCAATAATTAGTAAAAAAAACATTGAAAAAACACTTACCTCTTAATAATATTCACTACGCAGTCAACTTGTTACACAGACGACGTACCAGGAAACAATGACGTTCATTCAACTACACTCAAATGCATACTGGGTACCTGACCCTTTGCTATGTTATTTTTAAAGAATAAAGGTTTACGTTGACAGTTTATGGTATTTCTTTTCATGAATAGAAAGCTTGTTTTTAATTTTTAAAATTGTTGTGTCCATTATAAGAGCATGGCCCAATATAAGTACATTTACCTTCCAACGATAACTTTTTTGAGAATATGCACACTGAAAGGTTTTTTATTGTTTCGAGTTCCAAGGTAGCTGAATTCTTTTGCTAATCTAAATGATACGCAATATTTCAAAATAGCGTTGGTTGCAGAGACCAGACTGGTTCTGTCCAAAGTCGATAAGAAATTTGACTAAAAAAAATTTATCATACATGTTCCAACTACAAGTACTAGGAACCTCACCAAAATTTGCTGATGATCAGAATCTCCAAGGTAATTTTCCAATGTTAAAAAATCTTCAAATTTAGAAAGTGGCAATGTGACTGGTAGATCTGGGCAGTTTTGGGTATGTTGTGGTGTATGTGATGTATTTTTAAGAAGATGTAAAATTTCTTTATTCTGCTCCACTACCCTCGATAATAGTCCAATAAACCTGCTCTGAAAAACTAACAAAAAAAAATTAACAATGGCATAATTAATGTGCAAGTACAATTTAAATACCTTGATTCCCACTAAAAGTGCTGGACGGTGTTACAGGTGTACTACATCGAGACTGCACACTGTCATTGCTTTGGGAAGTACTAGGTAAATTTGAACTTTCTCGACAATCCAATGAGTTTTTTCTTGAAACAGTGGAAATTGTAGAAGGTGACCGTGACTTCTGTGACTTCCCTTGGCACACATCAGCATTCGTTATAGCTGAAAAAAAATGTAAATCTGCAGATCAATTGTGTAATATTTATACCACTCTATTTTACCTACTGCTGTGTTTAGAATTTTTGGGGGTCGTGATAACTGACTCTCCGTTTCCTCCTCCTCACCACTCTCGTTTTGAAATCGCAGTGGGAGCACTCTAGGTCGTTTCCGAATAACCTGAGTATCTTCAAAATCTGAATGTACTTCAGCTAATTTCTCTTTCTCTTTTGCATCATCATAATCATCTTTAAAATAAATAAATGTTAATGATATAAAGATAAAATACAAAATCCACAAACTTCACAGGATACAACCTTCTTAGAGCGAACCAAGGAAATTTAGTAATTGAACTACATACATAGGTATAAACATACCATGTCCAACATAAAGAAGCATAACCTGTTCTGGTCTAAAAAGGTTACAAGTAGGTCGATGTGTTTGTATGATGCAATTATCCTTAACAATATAAGCAAACGTTAAGGTGCCATTTTACTGGTGCATTGCAAAATTAAATTCCGATGCCGTTCTAAACGCAACTGTATAGTGTGATAAACCGACACTGCAGAGTTTGATCCTGGAGTTGAAAGTGCCTCAAAGCTTGTATCGACATCAAGCAGTATGTACGATTGATCATATGTTTAGATGCAACATCCAAAAACATACAAACAAAAAACACTTTAAAGTAAGGCACTCAAATACATTAATGGCCGTTTTCACCGACAAATTTAAGTAGTGCTTAGCGTAAGCGTAGCTTAAAATCCATGGCAACCATTGTCTTAATAATCGTTGTCATGGATTGTAAGTTACGCTTAAGCTAAGCAGTACTTAAATTTGTCGGTGAAAACGGCCATAAGTTTCCTACATACAAACGTACCACACGAATAAAAGATTTTTTTTATTTTGTATAATTTCCAGTCCGATTGCACGGTTTCTCCATCTCGTAAACATTTATAGAAAGAAGCACTTCTTTTATGAGGTGGCCAGAAGACCTCCGTTTTACGTGGCGTTAACCACTCACGATGGACAATAGCTACCGAGGAGCCGTCTTTCTCTTCAAATTGCACAACATTAAAAGCGGCCATTTTCTGCAAATAATCTCCACTTAGTAACTGTGTAACAAACCGTTATTGCAATATTGTAATATGTAAATTAATAACAAATTAATTTTAAGGTTATGTTAACATCTAAATGAGTAAAATAACATAAATGCTTTCAGAATACGCCAAGCATAATTGCACATACGATGAGAATTGAGTAACATACAGAAACTTACCTAATATTCACACAAAACTTCTGAAAACACCGGCAAACAAATATTACTAAGCGCCAAAACGAAAACAAAAATGCGTACCAGCAAGCTTATAACACGTGACGCGATGTGTTGCGGTGGCGCGCAATACGAAAATGAAGGTATCGCACACGAGTGCAGTCTACTTGGATTTGTATTCCTACAACCGTTATTTTATTAAATTATCGCCTTCAACGTGAGGTTTATTGTTTGGTAAATTTTAGGTCAAGTTACGATGAAGTTGAATTTCAACTAAATTATGAGGTTTATTTTACGTCTTCTTTTACCTAGTTATATTTCAACCAAAAACTCACGTTTAATTTACGTTTCTTTTTACCTAGTTGAATATCTACCAAATAGCAACGTGTATTTTACGTCTAAAGACGTACTCTGTTTGCTGGG